ATAAATGCTCTGAAAAGCCTTCTGAAGCTAACCTTTCTCTAACCTTGCGGCAATGCATCTTCTCTAGAGAATTTATTATCTTAATTTAAGAAACCCTCACTTCATCTTCCATTGAATTAATGGAAATCCTTGAGAGAGTATTCCATTTAATGGCATGGATGACATCTCAGTAAGCATTTGAAAACAAACTGTGTTTTACAACAAGCCTTAGTTTAAATTGAGTTTTGACTGCTGGATCCTATATTTTCATCTATTGACATTATACAACTGAATGTTTTCATACTAAAAATGAACTGAATAATACTTAATAAAAACCAAAGAGATTAATTAATTTGACATTTACTGAGCACCTCTCTACCTGCTAAGTACCATAATAATTGTTTTATATGTTATCTCTAATAGGCTGTAATAACAAAGATTAATGCTGCATTATCCATTACATCAAAAGAAAAAGAATTTTCTGACACACTAAATGGGAACCAAAAGAACATTAAGCAGTCTTCTACTTTCCCATGGACCATTTATATTAAAGTCAAATGGCAGTATGGATCAAGAATTTGGAATATATCATAGTTTATACATTTGAATTTTCAATTTAAAGATATGTTCACATTTAAAACTAATTTAATATAGATAGTAATTTATACTCCTAAGATCATCTGCCTGTTTTTTCTTTAAATAACTTTAATGTTCTGCATCATTTTTTAAATAATAGTTTACCAATACCAAGAGCACAGTGCTTTCTCTGTTTGGTTCAAATTCATTTCGTGATGGAAGGCAACTGAGGGCTCCATTCAAGTCTCCATCTTTGAGCTTGGATGGCCTTGAATTAATGGTAGATCATAGCTTAACAGTATCCAAGCATGAGGTTTAATATATTTTATCCTTAAGGGTGTTTGTTTGTTTAAAAGAAGGAAAACATGATTGTATATCTCCCAAATTGATTCCCAAGTACGTAGACTAGCTCTTTTAATTCTTGAACATCTTCAATAATCACTGTGGAATACAGGATGCTGCAAACATTTCTGAAAAATGTTTATTAACAAAGACTGCAAAACTGTGAGTAAAACCACAATATTCTAATGGGCTACTTTCTAACACAGCCCAGGGTCAGCAATCTATTGCCCAAGGGCCAAGTCTGGACTGACAATTATTTTTGTAAGTAAAGTTTTATTTGAACACAACCACACACATTTGTTAAAGTATTGCCTAAGGCCGCTTTTCTTAATAGCGGAGTTTAGTAGTCATGTGCCCCTTAATGAAGGGGATGCATTCTGAGAAATGCACTGTTAGGTGACTTTGTCATTGTACAAACATCATAAGAGTGCACCTACACAAACCTACATGGTATAGCCTCCTACACACCGAGGCTATATGGTCTAGCCTATTGCTCCTAGGCTACAAGCCTGTAGAGCATGTGACTGTACAAAACAACATGAGGTTAAATCAAGCACAAGAGAAAATACGCATGGTTAAACAAGGTTATGTGGAGGTTTCTTGCACTATTCTTGGAACATTTTGGTAAATTTGAAATTATAACAAAATAAAAAGGTATAAAAGTAGTTAAAACAAGTTTTAGCGCTAGCATTTAAAAGAGGAAAAAGTCAGTTACCTTCTTCAACAAGCAAAGTTAATGCAATAACTGCCATAATGGATTTGTAAAACATATAAACAGGTCTAGTATGTCCATTGAACCAAGCATGCCCGAGGCTGCCGAGTACCTTAACTCCCTCTGATCCTACAGCCTTAAGTACCAGCTTACAAATTTTGCCCTTTGAATTTCTCTTACAGAAAACAAGCTAACTAATAATTAAAGGAATCAAAAGACAAATAAAACACAAAAGAAGCTGGGGTTGAGAGAGCAGTAGTAGGGAGAGGGGAGGAGGTGAGGAAATAATATGAATAAAAGAGCCTAGTTAGTCAACAAACTAGGCAAGTATGTTCTAAATGACTAGTGTTAGCAATCCTAATTTGGCTTTTCTTTGGTAGAAAAGAAAGGAAACTTACCAGAAACACTTGAAAATTATATATATATATATATATATATGTAATTTCACATAGTTTTTATATATATTCAAATTCCAAGAAAAGAGATGAGTTTATTTTTATAAAATACAAATACTAAGCAAACATTATGCTAACTGAAAAAGTGCCTAGAGAGCCACACACATCCACATTGTTAAATATAGAAACTAACTGTAATGAGAATCATTATCTCCAGTTTCCAAGGATACCAGGATAAGCACTACTCCTAAATTGCAGTTCATTCAGCGAAGGGCACAGAGTGATTTATATTCAGGGTCATCCCCAGCTGACAGCAGATCCAGAAGGAAGGCCGGGTAAATCACCCTGATTGTTCTACTTGGTTACCTAGTTCAGTTCCCAGCCCCCGACATCCACTCTCTGCTCCCAACCCTGGTTAATGTTTTATAGGTGAAGTATGGAAAATCTGATTATAAACAGCAACTTCCAGAGAAAAAGAATCCCCAAAGGGCAAGGCAGTCTGAGAGGTGACTCATGTTGGGGGTTGGCAGTGGGTGGGTAGGGAAGGTTGGCATTCCCATTTGCTTTGTTTGTGAAAAGGAGAGGAGGCTGGTTTTGTGTGTCTGTCACACCAGTCGCCATCTTCCCCAATGCCGATAAAGGAACTGTACAGTTAATTTTTACTTCCTACCCAGCCAAGGTTATCCAAGCTTTTAGAGCTTACCATTCTTAAACTGCCGTAGTCTCTAGAATCAAATTCATTTTCCACTTGTTCTGTCTTCTAGACTCTAGGATCCAGACCTTTCATCCAATTACTTATTGTTTGTTTCTATAGCAATAAAAATATAAAAACTACTCTCTGACAACCTCAGAGATATTGCCTCTGAAGCATTTATTGGTTTATTCAAGACCATGTATTGATGGCTTGCAACGTGACAGGCATTGGGATAGACTAGGTAGGCAGTGACGAAAAGTGATACCAGACTTCACTTTTGATCACTAGGCAAAGTATCAATAACAGGCCATGTCACTTAGGCAGTTTAAAAGAGGCATTCTCCCTCTTCGTCAATGTTTCACTTACTAAAATAGTGATGTGGATTTCCTAGTTAGTTTAGATGTATCAACCTTATAGAAAGTATATATAAAAATATGATCCAGATATACTAGCAACTTTCCAGTTCATTCCTCCCCCATCACCTGTGTATTCAATACAGTAAGACCTCCCACGTAGCACCTCAGCCAGGGGCAGGGGTCACTGCAAGGGAAGAAAAGCTCTCCCTGTTTCCACACGCTTCCTCCTGATGGACTTGAGACAGTGTATCAGGCTAAGCTCCTTAGTTTAATGTGATCGCATAGGGGAATAAGCTGCCTGTTTTGATAATCAAGGCCTCCTGGTACTTCCCTCTTTGGCACCAGTTACATTAATTGAAACTGTTCACTGCGTTTCGGAAGGAATGAAATACCACAAAGGTTTCTAATTGTTATGTAACACATACAGTACATACCCCAGTAAGGCAAACTAGTTTAGTATTAACAGTCAATACAAAAATTATGTTTCTGAAAACTTTGTTCCTATACCTTTTAGATGACTGTAATTATCACATAGTTAGATGCACTGTCTTGATTTCAGTGCAGCCCAATCCTTTTTTAAAAAAAGACTCACTGTTTTTCTGTACTAAAATATTGCTTCTAAATTCAGTAAAAGATAATGTCAACTTTAAAAACCACATGAAAAGGGAAGTTAGTCTCAATTCTGTTAAAAGTTATGCCAGTAGTTATTTTGGTGTAGTATTCTGACACCTACTATTTCTCACAAGGGGCAACTTTTTGAGGTGAGATGGCTTCAGACAAGATTCTGGGCCTGAATCTGGAAACTCTGAAAAGAGTTAAGTTGAGAAGGTTCAACAGGCCAATACCTTTCCCCTGTCCCGCCTAAGACTAGCTGGTGCTTCACAGGGCAAAAACGTAGGCATTGTTTTAGGGGGAACGCCAAAGACAAGCAGCATTCACAAGTCACTGGCAGGTACCTTTTCTGATAACACAGATCAGCTGTCACAAAACCTCTGAAGTAGAAGAAGCCTGCTTACCTTAAGGGACATAATTGTATTCCCAAATTGTGCTCATCTATCTATCTATCTATCTATCTATCTATCTATCTATCTATCTATCTATCTATCTACCTATCTATCTGTCTATTTTTCAGCATTTTAAGTACCTTACCCAACAATATCAGAGCCTAAAATTTGGACTTGAGCCATTTCGCTTTCCGGATGAAAAAAACCTCAGATGGTCACCTCGTCTTTTTCTTCGTCTTCTATTTTTCTATGACCTAAACTGTGCAATATGTCTTCCAAAATACTTTCTAGTAGCTCACCCCTTCACCTCCTTTTAACTAGAAAGTGTCCAATTGGCAATCGTCGAATCATAAAGGCGGCGAAAACCGCTCCTGAGTGCTGTCGCAAATTTTTAAAAAGTGGATTAAGGACAACCAGAGAGGGACAGGTCTGACCCCGGAGGCCGGGGACACCGTCCCCCGCGCGGGTCTGGCGCTGCTCGGATCCTGGGCCCAGCTTGGAGCCCTTCAGGCCGGGCGGAGGCTGCGGGCGGCGAGGACCGTAGTTCTCCCGGGGGACCGTCCTGCCCAGGTAGGGGGTGTGGCTGCGGTGGCGGCGGTTAGCGGAAGGCGGAGGGGGCGTCTGGGCTGCGTGTGCATTGGGGTGGAGGTGACACCGTAACAGGGGAGTTGTGCAGGGAAGGCGAGGGGAGCGCGAGTGGCAGGAGGCTGCCCCGAGGCTTCCGGCCGCGGTGCCAGCGGAGATGCAGTTGGTTGGCAGCACCCAGGCGCAAGGGGGTCCCCAGGTGGGGAGCGGACGCGCGGCTGTGGGCGCCCGGGGTCCCCGCGCGAGGGGCTGTCGGGGTGGGCTGCGCAGGGGGCGAGGAGGCTGCCGGCGGGTCGGTGCCCGCGCTCCGGGGGCGCGGGCTGGGCCCGGGCGCGGGCGGGCGCGGGGCGCACTCACCGATGCACAGTTGGATGGCGTAGGCGTAGTAGGACCAGCCGAGCAGGAGGCTGATGAACACCACCGGGATCCAGTACAGCACCCGTCGGCACCGCCGCCTGACGCTGCCCGGGCCCGAGGGCGCCATCTTCCAGTCGCATCCACCTGCCCAGCTCCGCCGCCGCCGCCGCCGCCCGCGGGACTGGCTCCGGGGCGGGCTGGCCGCGCCCGGCGTCCCCGGCGGGACGGGCCCGGGG